CCCTGAGAATTCTAATATATACTACAGGCAAAAAGCAACTCTTTTTGATGATTTCTTGGTCAACAAGTTCAAAAAACCAAACTACAGTCAGTGCTATAAAAAACACTAAAGTAAATAATAAACTTGGTACTATAAAAGTAGGTGTGTTGTTGATGAAGTATCAAGAATATAAAACCAAGAAGTGGTTTACTTTGAATTGGTTTTTGTAGAAGTCAAGCTTTGGTTAGTAGACCCTTTAATTATATTCAATATTCAAACTATATATATCGACGAAATTATTTTAGGTTTCAGGATACAAAAATAAAATTTGAAGACAAAATTGCTTTTAATCTATTTTATTTAAAAAACAAAATTTTTTGATACTTTTTTTAAAGTGATGAAATTATAAAGAACATAACTACCTAAATTAGATTTGCTATTGTATATAAAAAATTTCAAATTGCTTTAATGAAGATGAAATAAAGTTTTTTGAAAACCTATTTTGGTAGCATATATAATTCAAACCAGAAGGATATTTTAGAAATGCAGAATAACTAAATCGACACCAAGTATATTTCAAACTTTGGGTCAACTCTATATAACTGTAAAACTTATAAAAGTAATTACAAAAAAGGGTTGTTGGTCTACTACTTTTTTTTGAGGAAATTTGGCAAAAAAGTAGATATTTTAGCTTATTTCTTCAAAATATTGATACATAAAATTACCAAAATAGTTGATATTATTTATCTTTCCAAAGCAAATATTTACAATATATTGTTTATTTAGTGTGGTTTGAGATAACTTAGATCATTAATAAACCAATAAATTGTGATCAGATTATATATACTACCAAAATAGATTTTTAAAAACCCTATTTTGTCTCTATTAGAGCAATTTAAAATTTTTTATATACAATAGCAAATCTAATTTAGGTAGTTATGTTCTTTATAATTTTATCTCTTCAAAAAAAATATCAAAAAATTTCATCTTTTAAATAAAATAGATTAAAAACAATTTTATCTTCAAATTTTAATTTTGTATCCTGAAACCTAAAATAATTTTGTTAGCATGTATAGATCAGATACATCAGAGTAGACTGAGTAAAAAACCTCTATGTATAGAAATAGTATATCTGGGACATATGATAGTGATATATCTCAATTTTTGTAAACCACAAACAATACTTCAAGACTATGGTTCTCTTTTAACTACTCTGTCTAGTTTTTCTAGTTTAGATTAAAATATTTTTTCCTTATAAAATAGGTTTTTTAATATAGATATATATATTATTAGAGTAGAGTTAGATACAAAGCTTCTTTATTCTATTAATTGATGATTCGCTAGTTAACTAGAGGGAGGTTATGTATAATATGATGTGGTTTATATATAGAAATTATAGTTTTGTCAATATAGGCTGCATCATTTTAAAACTTTTTTTTATACTAAATTAACTACTTTTGGGCTTCTAATTAAAGTTGTAGAGCTTGTTGAAATAAATCTAATAGTAGTTAAATCATCAAAATCAGTTTTGTAAATCACAAGATATCTTCAAAAAATATTTTGCTGACTATATAAAATTTCTTTCAACAATAGTATTGTTTAGAGATGTGATTCATTGATCTGCAATCTGGATAATCTGTTCAAAATTCATATTTTTGTATAACTATTTAATTTGTATATAGATTGCTAATTATTCATTCAATCTGTTCAAAATATGTGAATTGCAGATCATTTATTGAATTCTTTTGAAATTTACAATCTGTTCAAAATCTATTCAAAATTATACAAATTTCAAAATTTTTTGCTAATCTAAATAGTAGTATTATAAAGTTTATAGTATGTATTGTAGTAATACCAAAATAAATAACTTTATTAAAAGCTAATAAAAATCTTAAAAAAATTTGAATTTATATGAAATAACTAAAAAAATTAATATAGAAATAATCAAATATGACAAAAAGAAAAAATTAGTTGTATACTTCTTTATATTAAAGTTCTGGTCCCAATTATATGAAAATCTAATGCTAAATTATTAGCTGAATTTGTAAAAAAGATAAGATACGGTGAGAATTTTGTAAAATCTACATATTGAGTTATTAGAGTATCTCGAATTTGAAGCAATAATATTTTGAAAGTTATATATTGCATACTTAAAAGCCTATTAAATAAATTTTATATGCTTATTAGTATATATTTTTCTTATTACTTTCATTAAGTTATATGTATATATATATTTTAAGTAAAGCCATCTTTTTTTATCTATAATACTATTGAATATTACTAAAGAAAACTAAAACTCATAAATTAACTAGATATTTATCATTATTATTTGCTAAATTTAGCCTGATTAGAAACATATATATCATATCATATGAAAGTGAATTTAATAATATATTATCAGGGTTGAATACAATAAATAATAAACTTAAAAGTTTAAAAGTTAGTTTTTCTTTATATTACTTATTTAATAAATAAATATAAATTGCAAATTATAATTTTTGTTTAATATAATTCAATATTATAGAAAAATGTCTTTTTATAACAAAGATAATACTAAAGTATCAACTCATGGAATGTTTGATCAACACAATTCAAATAATAAGTAAGTTAAGCATAATAATACATATGGAGATAGTACTATTAAAAGTTGGATCTGACCATATTTCAATCTTGAATATGAGAAAAATATAAAATTTGCAATTTGTAAAATTGAAACAGTAAAAGAAAAAAAATATAGTAAAAAATATAAAATAGATTCATTTACCAGTAATTGTTTTTCTTATTTTAATAATATTTATAGTATAACAGAAGAACAGATTAATTTTAAAAATAATTTAGTTTTTTTTGAAATATCTCACAATGAATCATGACAACTTAAATTGTATCAATACCTTACAAATTAGATAATATGTAATTTTCAACCACTTACTATTCTTCAAAATAAAGTTTTTAAAAAATTTATAACAGAATTAGATTCTAAATTTCAAATTCCAAATATTAAATATATTAAAAAACTTATTCATTATATATATAATTATTTTTTTCTATCAATAATTAAAAAGTTAAATAAAAAAGCTATGTCAGTATCTTTAACATGTGATCTTTGGACTAGAAAAAATAAGCAAGGATATCTAGATATAATATGCTCATATTTAGATAATAATTTTTAATTATATGAGATTATGCTTTCTGTTGAATATATTCATTATCTGCATATTGCTAAAAACATTGGAGATACTATACTTTCGTTCTTAGATGAACTAGAATTATATGATAAAGTATTCATAATAATTACTAATAATAGTAGAAATATACAAAAAGCTATCAAAGATTTAAAATATTCAGCAAAAAATATAATTTAGAAATTATGTATAATACACACTTTGCAATTAGTAATTGGAAAGGGATTAAAGCCTGTTAAGATTTTAGTAGAAAGAGTAAAGCATCTTATTGATTTTTTTTTAAAGCCTAAACAATCAGAATAGTTACAAGATATTTAAAAGTGTTATTCAAACTCTAATGAGGTTTACAAATTTTATAATATACTATATAGTTAAAAATAAGATCTGTTATTTGTTTTTCTATTTAAACTTTAATGCATATATTTAAATACCCAGATATTTGATAATAATATTATTATATATAAAATTGAATTGCCAAATACATATATACATATTTGAATCGTATCTCTATATATAGTATATATATATTATAGTATCTAGGTATATACTGTATAGCTAAACTATATGTTTAATTTAATCTTTATAAAAATTTGCTAAAGATTTATAGTTTGAAATACAAATATTATTAAACTTTAGCAAATCAGGCACAATTTATAATAAAAAAAAGTAGTTTTAACTTTTTTTATTAAGATAATTTATTATATAACTATTTTCTAGTTAAATATTTTTAGATCCACATATATATCGATTCTTTAGATTATATAATTACTGTTAGTTACTGCCTATAGTATCTAGGGTTTTATTCAAAAATTTCTTTTTAAAATTAAATAGTACCTAGTACTATTTATGAATTTAACAATATTATTAGTAAAGAATAGATATTTTAAGTAGTAGAATATTATTTTAAAAAGATACTATAGACAGTATTTAATAATATTATATTAAATATCTGGGTACTATTAATTAAGAATACTAAGAGTATTATAATATACACTATATAATATTAATTTAATTCTAATTATTAAGTATTTATTTATTTTTTGTTAAAGAATTTGTTATTAAATGTCTATTTTTATTTTTGTTTAATTATTTAATATTAAATTATTATTTAGATTTTTTTTAACTTAGGATGCTGATAAAACGTCAAAATATTTAAGACATATAATTGCTAATATATCAACCTATTGGAATTCTAGTTATTTAGCATGGTGCAAACTTCTAGATATATTCGCATACTTGAAGCTAATTTAGCTAAAGATTCTAATCAAGATAGTATGAAAGATTCTCAACAATTAATTAAAATAATGTTAACAAATGATGAATAAGATTTGCTTCACAATTTAATTCTAGTTTTAGGTCTGTTTGAGGAAGCAACTAGATATCTTGATAGTAGTAACTATACTACTTATAGTATAATGAATCCTTTATTATCTAAAATTATTAAAATACTTAAACCTATATCTTTAACAAATAAAATAAATAAAACAAATGAGATAAATATTGAAAAAATTAAAAATATTTTTGCAGAACTTAATGAACAAGATATAAACAAACAAAAAAAAAGATCTAGATAAACCAATGCAAACTTCAAATATATTAGAAAAAGTAAAAGAAACACTATATTGTGCAATGCTTTTTTATTGAAAAAATGATAACATATCATATTTGCCTTCTATTTTTGATCCATGTATTAAAAAATTAGAATTTGTACCTAATAAAATAGATGAGATTCAAGAATTATTAAAAAATAAATATCACGATATGAAGAATAGTTTAATAGTAAATTCAACTATAGCTTCAACAACTATAATATCAGTACAAAATTTATTAAATATATGCTTTTTTCCTAATTCTATACTAACTACTCTTTACAAACCTATACTTTTCAATATATTTAATAATTTACCAACTGTTAATTCACAAAGCGAACTTGATGAATATCTTGCGACCCACAAATATCTATTAATTCTGATCTACAGTATTTGCATAGTAGAAGGCTAATAAGAAAAGATTTTCTGTAATAAGTAAATTAGCATGTATATACTTCTCTGTTTCTGTTACTTCAACACTATCTGAAAGATTGTTTTCAGACTATAAAAATATTATAGGCCCTAAGCAAACTCGTATGAGTCTAGAATTTTTTAAAAGACTAGTATTTCTAAAAAAAAATTATAATGTTTTAAATAGTATTCATTCACTATCATAATGACAAAATTAAAATTTTGGATTGTTATAAAGTAAATATCCAAAAATCTATTATTTTTTATTTATAGCTGTTTTCATAATTCTTAAAATATTTGTAAAAAATTAGCTAAAAGATTTTTCGGCCGATCTGGTTAAGTTATTATTTAAACATAATAGATTCAATAAAAATTAATGTATACTATATATATACATACTAATTTTTATTTAATCTATTATGCTGAAATAATAACTTAATTAGATTAGCCGAAAAATTGATACATACTATATATATGTATATACTAATTTTTATTTAATCTATTATACTGAAATAATAACTTAACTGGATTAGCCAAAAAATTATTTGGCTTTTTACAAGTGTTCCAAGAATTATAAAAATAGCTATAATATTTATATTAAAAAATCTAAATTTGTGATGTATATACTATGCAAATCTCAGTGAATAAAGCCTTAAAAATAAACTGTTTTGAGATAAAATATCTAAAGTTATCTGATTATTAAAAAAAAAAAAAAAAAAAAAAAAACACTTTAAGATCAAAAGCTATGCTAAATAACAATATCAAACTTATTCATTTAGATTGAAAATTTTAGTATAAAAAAACTTTTTTTTATTTTTTAATATTCTATAATATTCAAAAAAATTTATTAGCTTTAAATATGAATTTTTAATAGAATTAAATAAATTTAACTTGCAAAGCTTTGCATTTACGCTTTTTATTTTTATAATTATATTTAGTATTAATCAATCTCTATTTTAGCAAACTAGATAATAAAAGAATATCTTGTATTTATCTCAACTCTGATCCTTTATTATATCCTATTTTTTGACAAATAAATATCTTGTATTTATCTTTCTCAATCAAAATAATAAAGACTAGTGTTTATATATTCTTCTTGAATATTTTTTTTAGTAAATCTTTGATAATATATGGACATTCTTTCTAACTCCAATTCCATTTTCATGGTAGTAACCAATGCTATTTATTTCTTTAGTATTTATCATATTAGCAGATTTGTGAAATAAGTAAATACTATATGTTAGTTCCATTGTCAAATTGCAGATCATTTGTTCAATCTGTTTAAATTTGCAAATTATTGATTATTCATTTATAAATATATGAATTGTAGATCAATTTGTATAGATAAGAATATGATTTTTTGTAATCTAAATAATCCGAATTTGGATAGATTACATCACTGTATTGTTGAAAGAGAATTTTACATAGTTAGTAAAATATTTTTTGAAGATATCTCATAACTCACAAAGCTAATTTTAATGATTTAACTACCATTAGTTTTGTCTTAACGAGCTCTACAACTTCAATTAAAAACTCAAAAGTAGTTAACTTAGTACTAAAAAAAGTTTTAGAATGATGCAGTCCATATTCGCAAAACTCTAATTTTTATATATAAACTGTGTCATGTTATACTATGACCTCTTTTTGGATAACTGATAAATCACCAATTAATATATAATTTTTTAAAGCCTAATACAGGCTTATAATTATATCTTGTCAGATTTTGTTTTTTTTTATTTTTCTTTTTCATTTTTATATTTGTTTTTTAGTATTAGTCTTCATTATTTTTTCTTTTTCTTTTAATATTAGTGTTAGTATTAGTATTTTTTTTGGTTTTTCTACTTTTCTACAAGAAGATATTATTAGTTTAGTAATATCCTATTGTAGAGTGGTAGTTTGACAGTACCTTCTAAGATAAATATAGTTTCTATTTTGAAACTTATTATGATATATTCAAATAGATATATTTGCTCAATACGGCTAGTCGCTTGTAAGTATTCTTTGAAGTAACTTCAGGCTATCAAACTATAAATTACGCAGTATTTTGTTTATACTCATTTTAACCAATCGACTACCAGTAATAAAGAATATTAATGAGATGACCAAAGTAAAAAAAATATAAATATATATGCCACAGGTAATTATTACTTGTAATATAATTTGCTGATCAATTTTGTATAATAAAAATAAAGATCTCAAAATTTTGTCTAAAAAACCACCTTTTGAGTTCTAACAAAAAAAATTCTTTGCAAAATTTTACTTATTTTCTAATTTCTAACCTTTACTCTAATTTAATATTAAAGAAATTAACTTTTATTTTATAAAATTAATTTTTTTTATACATTGTAAATTACAGATGATAATTATTTATAGTTAATATTATATTATTTCTATTTTTTTACTTTAAATAATGCATCAGTAATTAATATTTATTTAAACTGTATTTGCAAATACAACAATAATAACTTTTTAAAGTCTAACATTATATAGCTTCTTTAATTTAACCAAAATTAACCAAATATCTATATATAACTGGCCACACAGTTAAAACCAACTCTAACACAAAAAAACTAACTCTACTAAAGGTATATCCAATCCCTGACCTACAATAGAATGTCATCAGTCTAATAACATCTTCTTATAGAAAATGAAAAAAAAAAATTATAAAAGAAACAGAGATATAAAGGAGAATAATAAAAAAACAATACAAACAAAAATAAAAAAAAAATAAGGGGCATGCCCCTAGACATATCCTAGCCACAGCTCTCCCACAAAAAATTGTTCACCCCTGTAATTTTGACCAACCGAATTTCAGGATCAGGTGTAACGTAAAATCGAAACAAACCCACTTTTTTACAAAAAAACAAGATTAACTCTAAATTTTTAATTAGGAAACCACCTTCTGCGGCCTAATTAAAAATGTTCCTCGTGATATTTTACTAATAAGCGCTATATCGTTTTAATCCTAACCCTAATTATACCACGGTTTTCTTGGATTACTTAGAAAACAAAACACGTTTGCTTTGACGCACGTCTGAAATGTGTGCCAGGTTTGTGGCGCAACTGTGGCGCATATTGCCTAAACTACGAATCAGATTTCAAG